CTGCCGTGGTGGGGAAGGACGGGTGAACGGCACCCTCCTGCCTTCCCGCTCTCTCTCTTCCCTCTCCCCTCCGTCCTAATTTTATCTGTGCTTCCTCTGCAAATTCCTAAAGGATTCCAGCTGCTGGGCCGGGCCAGGGATGCTGCTTTTCCCGGCAGGAAGATTTCAGGGGTACTGGCACAGGCATCACAGGGGCTGCAGGTCCCCCAGGCAGGCGGGTCAAGCCAGGGCAGCTCATGGGGAGGAAGGGTGGCAGAAAGCCTTGGGGAGGAGAGGGGAAGGGAGCAGAGGAACAGGAGGGTGGGGAGGAAGGATGGAGGGGCTCTGCCCTCCTCGCAGCCATGGGAGAGGCAGTGGTCTGGCCCCGTGAGCCGAAAAGTGGGGCAGAGCCCCTTGGAGCATCGCTCCCCCCCGCCTCGCCTGGCTCCTTCCCTGACTCCGGCTCTGTCCCAGTTGCTGGAAGTGGAACGAGACACAATCCTCTCCCTGCTGGGGCCCTGTGTCTGCCCAGGGCTAATAAAACGAATCACTGGTGCTTAATGAAGAAGCACCTGCTTAATTGAACGCAGTGGGACAGTGCTCAGCATGGCCGGGTGACGGAAGGGGGCCAGCAGCGCTCCCCCTCCGAGGCTCCCTGCAGGTCCCAGCAGAGGAGACAGTGTCTCCATCCACAGTGGGGCTGGATTTCATCTTTTTTTTTTTTGTAATTTTATGGAAAACCAGACTTTTACCTCCTTTGAGCAAGCATCGGGCTGCCCTGACCCTTTTCCACCCCGTTCCTGCATGGTGGATCTGGGCAGGGGATGGGGCTGAAGCGGTTAAAGGGGCGAGCGGGTGGGATGGGAGCTCCGACAGCTCCCTGAGACGATGATGTTTAGATTAGCCGGGTTTCCAGGCATCGTGCTGTCAAAGCAAGAGGGCTGTGAGGGCCGCCAGGGCTTGCCCTTAATTGGAGATGTGGCTCTGAAGCTGCCCCATTGCTCTGACGTCCCCTGGGCTCCGGCGCACGGCCCCGCTGCAGCTCCCTGCCCTGGGGCTTTTGGCTTGTCCTCGTAAGAGGCCATCCCATCCCGCCCCACCAGTCATTACTGTGATGGGAATTTCTTGCGATTGACATTGCTCAGTGGTTGCCGTATCGGGGTGGGCTGTGGTGCTTAATGGGGTGCAGCTGGGGTGCAGCTCAGGGACGCGGGGGGGACCCCAGGGTGGCATGGTGATGCAAAGCTGGTGATGACCTCCTTGGCTCTTCCCTTGGTCAGCATCGGCTTGCCGAGGGGTTCTTTAGGTGAGGGGAAGGGCAGAGCGCTGTCCCGTCCCCACGGCAGGGGCTGGAGGTGACCCCCTGGGTCCCCCACTGCGGCTTGGCCCCATCCGAGGCAATGGGCAAGAGGGGGTGTCCCCCATTGCCATGCTGCAGGCAGGCGCTGCCTCCCATCTGCCCACAGCCACATTCCTTGGCTCCGTTGGAAAGGCTTGAATAACCCTTTTAATTTAAGGAGTTAAATTTTAATGGCCTAAATACCGCACTTCATTATTGCCGCCATGTGCCTGCGCTGACGGCTGCCTAACGTCTCGGCGATGCGGTGCAGTGATGCTCTGTGGCTGCTGTTTCCCCAGGGACGCTTCTTCTTCCCCTCCTCTCCCCCACCAGGAGGTCCCTGGGGACTCGCTGGGTCCCTGTGGGCAAGGGGATGGGCAAGGGGATGTACGTCACCCACGAGGATGTAGGGAGAGCCCTGGGGAGAGGCGTCTCACTTTGGGGGGGATTAGCCAGCTCCTTCCATTGTCACATCAAAGCGCGTGCAGGTGGATGGATGGGTGAGCCACAGCCAGCCCTATTAGTAACTGGGGTTTTAAGTCATGCAGCTGGGCTGTGTGTGTATATATATATATATTTATGGGGTGTATATGTCTGGGGTGTACGTATCTGGGGTATGGCTCCCGCTTGCTGTCCTTTCTGCCCTGTCCCCTTCCGCAACTGCATCTCGGCTGCTCCAACTAACGTTTGGAGCCACCTGTCCCCTGTACGGCCCTGTCCCCTCCCTCCTCCCAGCCAGCCTCGCGTTCCCCTCGTGCCATTGAAGCCTCCCAAGGGATCGGCTCCGGGGGACCCCTCCCGTCCCACCCGCGGCCGCCCGGCACTGGCAGTTGGGCTCAGCTGCTGGCTGCTGTCACGGAGGCTGGCAGCTGCATGGTTGGCCAGTTGTCCCCTCCTTTGGGGACCACTTTTGGGATCTGCCAACCAAGGGGCTTCAGGGGGGAGTCTGGGGTCTCTGGCTGTATTGGGGGAGGCTGCTGAGCACTGGCAAACTCGTTCTGCTGGTGGTTCCTGGAGAGCCCCTGCCTGGGGGCAGCTGGAGGGTACGGTGCCCAGGTGGGGCAGGGGGTGACATGGCTTCTGCTCAGGGGGATGGAATCTGCACGGCTGCTCCTTTAACACCCTGAAGGTTTCCAGTTTCCCAGTGCCACCGAAAGGAGGGGGAACAAACCCAACCCTTTCCTGCTAATCAAAACCAGGCCTGAAATTAGAAAGCGGCTCGCGTTCAGCCCCCCGCTTGCTGGGAGCGCAGCGTTAGCCAGCCAAATGTCAGAGCTCCTATTTATGGAAAGCAAGAGCCTCCTTTTCCACAGAGGAGCGTCGGAGAAGGGACCCGACTGGCATCCTTACTGTGGGCAGACAAGGGCAGCTCCGGAGGTTACTGAATTGCCCTCGACACTTGCCGGCACCGTTTTTGGTTTGGCTGAGCTTGTTTGAGCTCTTTTTGTAGCCTTTTTGCCTGGAAGGTGTAAAACACTGGCTCCTTGCTGGCCCCGAGCAGCTGGCAGCAGTGCAGAAGAGCCAGTCCCCAGCTGTACCAGCACACCAGGGGCACCTTGCAACTGGGGGTGAAACTGTCCCGGTGTTTCTCCCTGGAGGACCCATCCCCTCTTTGGGCACAGTAAATCATCCTGCTTCATGGTCCAAGTAGCCAGTGCCTGCTCCGGCACAACTGCTGGAAGAAGCTCGCCATGGATGGGGCATCCAGTTATCCCCTTTTACTGGAGAAGGGTAGGATGGAGCCAGGCTGGGTTTGCTTTGCTGCAGCTGGCAATGACCGGATCCTGCCTGCAATGCTGAGCTATTGATTTGCTTTTGGCTCCATCAGGCTGGACTAAAAGCCTCTGCCTTCCCCTTCCCTCCCTTGATGCTTCGCTTTCCCATTGCTCTCCCTCCTCCAGCCAGCCCGCGTCCAAGCGGCGAGAAATCGGGGAAGCGTTTTCATCCCCATGAATGCAGCTGGTTACGTAAGAATAATTGGGATAAATGAGCTTATTTATCGCGGCCCGTTCCATTTTAATGGGGTCCAGAGCAATCGCCGGGTTGGGTTATGTAAAAGCCCACACAGAGCATCTCATTGTCCGGCAGCGGCCATGCGGGATGCGGGAGCTGACGATGGAGAGGAGCCGGGGCTGGGCGAGGAGGGGATGGGTTGCTTGGCAGAACTGGGAGGAAGATGGGGGGTTTCTTCCTCCATGTGTTGGCAGGGAAAATCCATTTCTTCATTGCCCGTCCACCTCCTGCATCCTTAACACACCAGGCTATGGTCTTTGGTGTCTCTCTGTAGCCATATAGTCTTCCACCAGTCCTTCCCTGCAGGGACATCTGGAAACTTGCCTCCTTCCTCTTCCTCACCCCAGGAGGTGAAGATGTGACCCTGGGGGGGTTCAGGTGTGCCTCCCACCTCCCAGCCAAACTGAGATGCACTGAGCAGCTAGCAAATGCCTCTCGCCCAGCCACTGAAGTCGGTGCTCCTTGTTTTGCCTCCTAAACCCTTCTGAGATGCCTCCAGGGGGATTTGGTTGCCAGCTGAGATTATCTGGTGGGGAACAGTGCTTGGTAGGAGTTGGGGGAAAGCAGAGATGCTCTGGGGGATGCCAGCATCTCCCCTGGTGCCGAGGTTCCCCACCAGCCCATGGCAGAGATGCAGGGACCCAGAGAGCATCCCAGTTTCAGGAGAAGCTGGGGAGCTGGGTGGGCTCCCCCAGGTCTCCCCGATACAGGCACCACAGAGCTGAGCCAGTGCTGGGCAGTGTTTCAGGTCTCCTCAGACAAAGACCCAAGAACACAGGAGGCTGGAGAAAAAACAGGAAATCCCCAAATCCAAACAAATGCAGAAGAAAAAAAAAAGAAAAAAAAATCTGGTTTTTGGTTTCTGGTCTAAAATGTTGAAAACCTTGGGAATGCCTCAAGGTTTGTTAAGCAGGACATTCCTGCCGTGACCCACCGGGCCCGGCCAGGCACATCGGCGTGGGCCGCGGCGCCAGCTACACTGTGTTTTGGGGAGAGCGCTGTCGGTGGGGTGTACGGCGGAGCAGAGGCATCTTCCAGCTTCACCAGCTGGAGCTCCGGAGCCCCTCGGCACCAGATCTTATGGGAGCCAGAGCGTGGAGGAGTTCAAAGAGCAACAGGGCAGGTTACTGGAAGAAAGGGGGGCTGTAGATGGAAAGGCTCCAGGGCTCCCAAGTTGTACAGTGCCAGGAGGGAGTGGTTTGTCCCAGTGGCCATGCTCGCTCCCTACCAGTTCCCTGGTGTTGGGTGGATACTGGTCTGACTGGACCATCACATGCCATCTGTAACCACGCTGCTGCATGCTCCCTGCAGTTGTCAGGGTGGAAAGTTATGCTGAAACCTCTCGAGGGAGGCCACTGGGAGGCTTGAGGTGGCAACAAGCCACAGTGGTGGGTGCTGGCGAGGTCCCAGAGCAGCACGACCAGGGATGTGTCTTAGCCCAGCTATTTTTTTTGGCCTTGCCGTGGTGTGAATAGGTGCACCCTCCAAATGCAGAGCCTGGTATTACCCTGCAGCAGCTCCACTCCGGTGCCACCACACTCGCCCAGCCTCTGGTGTGCCCGTATCTGTCATCCCTGGTCCTCTCTGCAGGAAGAGGGTGATGCACAGGCTCAGGTCAGGGTCTCTGCTGTGCTCGTTAACCATCCTTTCTCTCCTCTGTGATACGCAGGCAGCTTTGTCTACTTCTGAATGCAGAAAACATCTTCCACTCCATGGCAGACATACTGCTTCGGGAAGAGGACCTCAAGTTCGCCTCTACCATGGTCCATACCCTAAACACCATCCTGCTGACCTCCTCCGAGCTCTTCCAGCTGAGGAACCAACTGAAGGACCTGAAGACCCCGGTATGGGCAGCGGGAGCAGGCTTAGGAGGACATAATGGCATCAGCAGGGACCTGGGGACATGTCTTGCTGCTCGGTCTCCTCCTGGCAAGTCCCAGGGCTGGAGCTCAGGTGCCCGGGGCAGCCCCTTCATTCATCCTCTCTTCAGGAGTTGAGGGGGGCTTGGAGCACGTGCCCAACTCTTGCTTTTCTCCCCCGGGATGGGAACAGGCTCCCCGAGCCCTCGAGCAGCTGCCGCCTCCCTCCCTCCCTCCGCCCCGACACGGGCCAGGGGACAGGTGACAGCGGGAGCAGAGCCCCCCAGTCCCTCAGCTGTCCCTGCCAGGAACGCGTCTGTGGGGTTTGCCGAGCAGCTGCCACCAGCACCAGTGACATCTCCTGTCTTCTCCTCCTCCTTATGCTGAAGGCCAGCTATGCAGTGGTGTCACCTTGGGCGCAACAGCCACCGTCCTCCAGCCCCTTGTCCCTCAGTGGACACAGCACCCCCAAGGGCCACCCCGTCACACTGCCACCCCAAAACCCACCTGGTCTCCATCTCCCGAGGCTGCTGGGCTCATGCCAGTGCCAGGTGGACTTGGTGGGTCCAGAAATGTCCCTTTGTGTCTGGGTGGCACTTGCCAGCCCGGTGGGTTCGTGTCGGGGACGTGGGGGTCTCCGTGCCACATCCTTGATCCCACTGGTGACCTGACCCCAATGGCTTCCTCTTTCCCCAGGAAAGCCGTAACCTCTTCTGCTGCCTGTACCGGTCCTGGTGTCACAACCCTGTGACAACCGTGTCCCTCTGCTTCCTTACCCAGAACTACAAGCATGCCTACGACCTCATCCAGAAATTGTATCCTTTGGGAGTTTTCTGTGAGGCCAGTTCCCCAGGCTGGCCCCTGGCCCCTCTGTGGCCACCAAGGTCACCCTGCGGGCCAGCCTAACCTCCTGGCTGCAGCCCATCATTACCAGGGCGGCGTCCCTGCGATGAGAGGGCAGGGCAGCCTGTGCTGGGCGCACGCCAGCTCCCTTCCCCTTGTGTCATCCTTATTTTTTGTGGCATAAAAAGAGAATAGCGTGCACCGGCTGAGACCTGACCTTACCCTGCCCACAAGGGGAAGCTCCTCAGCATCCTCTTCCTCCCAGGAAGGTGAAGGCTTTGGCCTCCTGGCCTGATGAGGAGCAGGCAGCGCCCGGTGCGGTGCGGTTCCCAGTGAGCTCACCGTCTGCCTGGAGCAGAATGATTATTTTCATATGCTGGCAAACCCCGAGCCTCCCTGAGTAGCTTTCCATATGAAGAAGCTTAATAACGCGCTCGGGTTCTCTTCCCGGTGCATGCCGGCATTTCTCCTGGGGGACAAGAGTGCTCGGCATCGCCTCCGTGCCATCCTGGTGGGCCAGGGGGGTAAAAGCAAGCGTCCTCCTTTGCACCATCTACCTGCCTGCTCTCTGGCTAGGCAAGCTGACAGCTTTTTGGGCAGCCTGCCTTTTCCCCCATCCCTGCCTGTTCATCCTGTTTCCTTCCATCGTCCCTTGGCCACCCTGCAGACCTTTCAGCCCTGCCTGTGTATCAGCCCTGCCCGTTCCCTGCCTGCTTGCTTCCCGCGGGAGCTGCTGGTGCAGGGAGGGTTTGGCAGAGCCACAGTCCACGCCGAGCATCACCCGGCTGAGCCATCTGCTGCTGCCAGGCCACCCTTTTCCAAGGGAACGTCCTTAACGGCCGCATCCAGTGGGGATCTGGAGGTCACCGTGGATTTCCTCACCGAGGTGGACAAGCTGGTGCAGCTCATCGAGTGCCCCATATTCACATGTAAGGAGGAAACCCCGTGTGGGGCAGGGGCGGCGCGCGGTGCTCCCCCACCCCAAGCGTGTCCCCCTCCCTGCTCCTTCATCGCAAGCGGCAGCTGCCACACGAATAAATAGAGCAGAAGTTATGAGACTTCTTGCCGGGAGGTTTGCCGAGTGCTGGAGCTGCCCGCCAGGGCCAGGCGCACTGGCAGCACCGGGGGGGGGCTGCTCGCCCCCCAGATATAGGTTAAGGGAGCGAGCGGACCTGGCACCAAACAAAGGGATGGGGGAAGGATGGGGTGGGCCTGGACCATGCTGAGCATCGCCACGGGCAGGGCACGGGTAGGGTATCGGCTGCGGGGAGCCGCATGTGCCACCCTTGGAGATGCGGGATGGTGTCGCAGGTGCTGCTGGGGCCCTTAGCAAGAAAAAACGTGGGGTTTTTTTCTGGAAAAGGAGCATAAGCCCATAAAACCAGAGATGCTTCTCTCTCCAGATCTGGCCCCCCAGCCCCAGGAATGTGTCCCCCGCATTGGGTAACGCAGCCAGGGCCTGGCTGGGGGCTCAGGGCCATGGCGGTGGGAGCCGGGATGGGGAGGGGGGGATGTGGCGGGGTGACCTGTGACCATGGGGGGGTTTCTTGTGATGGTGTTCAGCTGCCCCTGGGTTCCTTCTCCCTGGAGATGGAGCTGGGCGTTGGGGGCATTGGGAAATGTCCCAAAAAGGACTTCGGGAGGGGACTGTATAGGTCCAGGGCTATTTCAGGGAATACCTGGGGGAATATTTGGAGGCATATATTTGAGGGAAGAGGGTTAGAGCAGCTAGGCAATGGAGATGTGGGCTGGCCCGTGGTCACGCTTCCTCCCGTGGTGCCCTGTGCTTCATCCCGAGGATGACTTTCCTTCGCACCATGCAAGGTGGGAACGATTCCTTGAGGGTTCCCGATCCCACTCACCTTAATCTCCAAGTCTTGGCGTGGGGGACAGACATGCCCCCCCCCATGGAGCAGCATCCCTGGGCATGAGTCCTTTCGCAGAGAGACACCAGAGGTGCTAGTGCCAACCAGGAGGTGAGCTGCTGGGGCAGGGACCTCTCGCCCCATCCCCTGGGCTGCCCCAGGTGGGACCTCAGGTGTCTGTAGGGCTTCAGAAGGCCCTTCTACCCCTGAACACCACGAGGGATGGAGCAAGAAGGTGGTTTCCCCTCTGCCAAGCAACGCCATGGCCCAGCACACGTAACCATCAGGGCCGAGTGGAGAGGATCCCTTCTGCTCCAGAGAGTCCCCAGGAGGGTGTCACCCAGCCCTTCTGACATGTGATGCCCCAAGGCGGGTAATTCTGCTAATCCCTCAGAAGCTGAGAAGCAATTTCATGTTGCACATGTGTCCTCAGGCAGACAGCATGGACAGGCTCGAGGATGAGCAGCAGCAGGGATGGGAGACTGGGGAGCCGTCTGCCCCCTTCCCTAGCTGGCAGCGGGGGGCTGTGGTGAGGAGAGGTGCTTCTGGCATGTGTGGGACACGAAGATGGATGAGTTAATGCAACGGGAGAGGCTGCTGGTGCCATGCAGGTGCCCCTCAGGTTGGCTGGCAGAGGCTTACAGCCTCCCCAGGACCATCAGCTGGGTTGGGAGGAACCTGCTATTGGGGCTGGAGGCAAAATGCATTTTACCCACCTCCCCATCTTCTTCCTCCCCTTTTCCAGATCTCCGCCTGCAGCTGCTGGATGTGAAGAACAACCCCTACCTGATCAAGGCTCTCTATGGCCTGCTGATGCTGCTGCCCCAGAGCAGTGCCTTCCAGCTCCTCTCCCACCGCCTGCAGTGCGTGCCCAACCCTGAGCTCATGCAGACAGCGTAAGTGCCACGGGGACAGACCCCCAGCATCGGGGCTGGGCCAGCCGTCCCCACCGCAGCCGAGCATCCCCACAATCCCAGGCTCAGCCCCGTGCTCTTCTTTCGCCCTGCGGTTCCTTTGCGGCCGCGGCTGCTCCTTGCCCCGTGGCCGAGAACATTGGCTCGGGGGGGGTTTTGTGTCTATATTTGGTAACCCTGGGAGGGCTGTGCCTCATCCACAGGCATTTGGCATCCGGGATGGAAAATTTCACTTGTGGGGTCGCTATGGAAACAAGCAGAGCCGGAAAGGAGGTTTACAGAGAGAGATGCCGGCAGCCGGGGGTGCTCCCAAAGCATCCCCCCCAAGCCTTGCACCCGAAAGGAGCCTGTGTCACCCGTGCATGCCTGGGGGGCTTGCTTCTCCATCCCCATGCCTGGCCTTCAGGGAGCCATGAGCAGCGATGTGCAAGGGTGGCCTCTCCCTGGGGATCAGCCAAAATCCTCATGCTCCCTGCCCAGGGATGCAGCCCACCTGGCTCGTTAGATGCCGGTGGTGGGATTTCCTCTCCAGCCCTCAGCTAACGAGCAGGGAGGGTTGATGTTAAAGCTGGGTCGTCCTTTGCAAAGCCCTGAGAACAAAAAGAAGAGCTCCCAGGATGAGCAGGTTTCTGAATTAACCCCCCACCGCCACCACTCCTTGGCTTTTAACAGCTTCCCTGGGCTGGCTTTTATCCCTCGTGGCCTCCAGCGCTGAGCTCGTACCCACAACCCGGCACTGATTTTAGTTGGGGGGGCAGATGGGGGGGCTGTATGTGCTTCCTTCCCCCCTTTTATCCCCTCCCTTGGCCCCGGCAGCGGGTTTTTTTTCGAGCAACCAGAGCTGTCAGACGGCGTGAGCATCTGATTAACTCTGACCTACATTCCTTCAAACACCGAAGCCGGCTTTCGTAACAGGCCAGCCCCAGCTGCCCCCTCCCTGGGGGGACGCCAGGGACGCAAGAGCCGCCTGCCATCCTCCTGTGGGCTCCCCCATGTCCCCTGATGGGCTGGTGTCCCCCTCCCATTGCGCGGGGACAGCTCTGAGGGATGAGCACCCAGGGCTCCAGCCATGGGTGCTCATCCCCCGGGGCTGTCTCCGCTGCCACCAGTCCTTCTCCACACCGAAGCACCCAGATATTTTTTGCTTGTTCCTAAAACCAAGCAGGGAAACTGAGGCACGTGGCACCAGCATCCTTTCCGGCCAGTCTTGCATCTTTTGGCCGGAATGGGTTGGGACGGGGGGGAAGCATCCATGTTGGAGGGGTTAAACCTCCCCTGTGGGGCCAGGGTGCTGAGGCAGATGTCCCTTGTCCCCTCTCTCCTGTGCCAGGACTTCTTGGGCTCCGTCTCATGCCTTTAGGGGAAGGAAACAGGGGTTTTGGGGGTGTTTAATGGGGCACCAGCATCTCTAGGGTGTGCTGGGCTCAGCTTCTTCAGGACAAGCCCTTGGTGCTGCCTGCGATGGATGCCCAGCGTACAGGCATTTCCTGCCCCTTCCTGCCCTCACTCTCTGCTCCCTCCCCGCAGGGACAGCACCAAACCAAGCGCCAGCTTCAAGAGGACGACAGCCTCCAACATCGACTACACAGAGCTGCTCCAGCACTTTGAGAAGGTCCAAAACAAGCACCTGGAAGCGCGGCACCAACGAGCCGGGCGGGCAGAGCAGCTGGACCGGCGGGTGGTCCTCTGAGCATCCCCGTGGCAGCCACGGGTGTGCACGGTTGCTGGGGCAGGGACCAGGGGACACGGACCAGGGGACAGGGACACCGATTGCTGGCCGCCGGAGGACGCGGTGGGTTTAATGGCAGAGGGAGATGGGCGAGTGCTTGGCGCGGGGCTGGATTTCCTCCCTGCTGTATGTGCGGATGGTGGGGGACCCCCAGGCTGTGCCCAGCTTCTCCCATGGGTGATGTGATGACATGGGGAAGGGATGTAGGAGGAGAGGGCCAGGGAAAAGCACCTCATCTTCTCTTGCAGTAGGGCAAGGAAACTCCCCTTTGCTTTGCTAATGCCTTCCCCGTGACTGTCAGCTGAGCACCCAGCCTCCTGCCAGCAAGACCGGAGGGGAAGGGAAGACAGGAGCAACCCCTGGCCTCCCGCCCTGGAAAACAAGCACGCGAGGCTGCCGGCTGCCTTTCGCCACCCTGGCTTCCACCCTCCAGATCCAAGGCCGCGCCGGAGGCTGCCGGCAGCATCTCGCCTGGGAACTCACACTCCTGTGCGTGGCACTCGGTCCCCTCCCTGCGTCGACGCACCCTCCCCGAGCCCCCAGCTCTTGGCACGGACGGCGGCACAGCCTTAACTCCCAGCCAGCACCAGGGGCACGAGGGGTGGCGGAGACCCCCATCGCAGCCAGCCCCAGACTCAATTCTTTGTTCCTACGTTAAGCTCCCCACGGTAAAATAAACGAGCAATGCAGAGCAGGCCGTTCCTGGTAGCTGGGCTCCCCATCCTCGTGGATCCAAAATCCTAGTGAGGGCACGGGATGGCATGGAGCATCTTGCTCAACGCTGTGCCCCGAGCTGGCCCAGTCCTGCCACGTTGGCTCGCCAGCAAGCAGGGCTTCTCCGCCTGCTCCTCTTCGCAGCAGGAAAAAAAAAACACACCGCCGAAATTCTTCCAGGCCACGGTCATGAAACCACAGCATGGTGACAGGCATTTTCCTGGCCCTGAGCAGCCGCCGGCACTGCCTTCACCCCGTCCTGCAGCACCAAGAGACCATCACCGCCGGCACATGCCAGGCTGCTGCGGTTCGGGGGGTCACCGTTGCATCCCTGGCGCGTTTCAGGCCCTCACCTGATCCCGGCGAAAGAGGAGCTGGAGGAATTCATGGAGTTTTTATGGCTCCTGGCCTGTTTACAGCAGAGCCGGGCTCTGGCAGCGGGTTCCCCGAACAGCCCCGCACCAGTGCTGCTTTGGCCAGGATAAAGACATTCCTGTCATTCCCGGGAAAGGGCTTTCCAAACCCGGTCATGGCGGGTTAATTTTAACAGCCAACCCTTTAGGATGGGTGAGCGGTGGCTTCCCCAGCCCACCAACCGCTTGGGGTGCTGGGGAGGGTCCCTATTGCCTGTCCCCAAACCCTGCCAGGACATGGCCGGCGTGGGCCAGAGCTGCTGCCAGTCCCAGGGCTCTGCCTGTTGCTCTTGCCAGGCTCACTGCCGCTGAGCAGCCTCTTTCCACACTGAGGGATGGGGTTTATGGGGAGAAATTCCAGCTGGCTGCCGGAGTGTCGAGCCATAATCGTTTCCTTATGGGTGGCTCTTGACCAGTGCCGGCCAGAGCAGCATGGTGCTGCCGGGGCAGCACCGGTGGGGGATTGGGGCTGCTTTTCTGGCAGGAGGGGGAATAGGTGGCTCAGGATGAGCCCCTCGCCCCGGCTGAGCATCGTTTCACCGCTCGGTGCAGCTTGGTGTGTCGGGGCTCAGCCCAGCCCCCCAGAGCCCGGGAGGCTGGAGATGGGGCCTCGGGATGGCTATGGGGCCAGCTCATCTGCTGGTAGGCCATGCGTTTCCCATGGCTCTCCAGACATGGATGGCCATAAGATGTTTCAGAGCTGCCATATAATCACCCCGGAGGGCGTTAAACTTAAAACCTGTGCCAAGGTGGGTGCCCGCAGCACACCTAGGCACGCGCCTTCCCCAGGTGAGGAAGACAGTGGGGGTCAGACAGCCCTTGGAGAGAGGCTGAACAGAGCCTGGCCTGGAGGTGCATCCCCCCAGCGCCTCCGGCGACCCGGGGGCCGCCCCTGAGCAGTCCCGCTGCTGACCCCAGGCCCAGCATCCCTGAGCGCAGGGCAGCAGGGCGCACGGCCCCCAGGCCCCGCATCCCGGGGCTCCCCACCCACCACCCCAAAAGCAAA